GGTCCAGGGCCTGGCATATGCTAAACCTGCTCTCTAGCACTGTGCTAAATTCCAGTCCCCAACTAGGGAATTTCTGGATTTTCACACACAACTGAAACAAACCAATTTACCAAGCAAAGCTTCCCTAATCTCTTAATGAACAAAAATGAAGCCCTTAATAGTGTCCCAACATACCAGCACCATTTCCCTCAGGCTACAGCCGCATATGTATAAACCATATGAATTTCACACACACAAAAAAAACAGGCTTTTGATTTTAGAAATTAATCAGAAGTGTCCTTTGGAAATGATTGAGTCGGATAACTGATGAAATTCATAATCTATCCCTGATTGGTTCAGCATTTCTGTCAGAGATCTTTAGGGCCTGAGCACCTTTCTTTTTCTTTTTCTCCTTTTCTTTGACCAGCTCAGCCTTCCCTGAGGGCAGGGCTGGTGTGGCATGTGGTGCCGGGGATGGAACTATGGTCCCAGGGATCGAACTGCTGTCCCCTGCACCTGCCTGAGCTTGCCTAAGCAGGTGCTTTAAACCACTGAGCTATCTCACCGGCCCCTGTTTTTTCTATTTTTGAAAATAGCATCTTTTTATGAATGAAAAAACCACATAGACAATGATTTGTTAGCAAAGCTGGCAGTATGGAATAAGGAAATTTGGTGTATGGGTTCAAAGGAAGATAGTGCTGAATTCAAATTCAAATTCTACTCAGATTGTAGTAGGCAAATTAATGTTTCTCTTATCTTCAATTTCCTCTCCTATGAAGTAGGAGTAACAGTGATGAACTGTAAAGATACTGTGGAGGTTAAATAATATAATGTGTGAAAGCTGCTCAAGATTACCTGGAACAGGGTCAGTTCTCATGGGCACCAGCTGCCCTGATCAGCCTCATCCTTGTTGCCATGGTGATGGGTTGGGAATGCTGATGACAGTATTGTTTGTTTTATTGTTGTCATCATTAGCATAGTGCTTTGGGGATGGAAATAATATATTTTCTTCTCTTAGACACCTCCAAAAGATGGCTTTGTAATCACCAATGTTCAGTCAGTTGCAAGCAGCTCTCCAGGGAATAAGCAGTCCCCTTTCCAGTCCTCTTCCACAAGAAAAAAGAATAACCCAGGGGAGAGAGAGCTTCCACCCTGGCGATCCTCTGACAAGCATCCAACAGATATCATCCGTTTTAATTATCTGGACAACTGTGATCCCTTCCTGCCCAGCTCCCAAGGGTAAGAAGCTCTGCATCCTTCTCAGCTTCTATTTGTTGGAAACAATTTATGGGCATTTCAGTAGACGAAAAGATGAAAATAAAACTTGCTATGAAACACAAAGGTTTTTCAACACTAAGAAGCAAGAAGTTATTAAAAAAAATAAACTAACCATTCTTTAAAAATTTGCCCTTTGAATCATGATTTATCTGCACTTTATAGCTGCAGTTATTTAAGATGGTAGCCTCCTTTGATGTTTTAATATTAAATTCCAAGCTAGCACAATATGGTTCATTATAGCCCCTTCCTCATAGGATTTGTGCTTCCCTTCTCCAGAAGTGAGGGGGTAAGCGTGAGAGAGGCACATTTAGAAACTTGTATTTGTTAAGGTAAACTGATGATCTCCCGAGGTGGTGATTGTTGCTGCTGTTATTTTGAGACTACATCTTGTTCTATAATTCAGGCTGGCTTTAAAATCACTATGTAGCCCAGACTGGCCTCAGACTCTCGGCAATCTTCCTGCCTCAGCCTCCCAAGTGCTGGGATTACAGGTGTGTGCCACCACACCTGGCTTTCTCTTGAGTTTTATATGAGACTCAAACACTTGCCACCAAAGAAACTGAGAGGATGGGGGTGAACTCTTAAAAAGATCAGACCAACCTGGCACTAGGAGGTGCATACCTGTAATCCCAGCTACTTAGAAGGTTGCGGTAGGAAGACTGTAAATTTGAGGTCAGCCTGGACTACATAGCAAGACCCTGTCTCAAAGTAAATATTTTTCATTAAACAGAGTTGGGGGTGTAGGTCAGTGGTAGATTGCTTGCCTAGCCCATGCAAGATTCTGGACTCAATTCCCAGTACCATAAAAACCAAAAATTAGATCTAGCTGGGCTTTGTGGGACATGCCTGAAATCTCAGGTATTTGGGGAGGCTTAGATAGGAAGATCACAAGTTTGAGGCCAGCTTGGGCAATTTAGTGGCTACCTCAAAATTTAAAAAGTAAAAATGGTCAATGTTATGTAAGTTCAGCCTCTGGCACCACAAATAATAGTAATAATGATTACTATAAAAAATCAAAGTACAAGAAAAATATATATACATATATACACGTATGCCTATATATGCATCCATATGATATATATGTATTTTTTGAATCTTCTCCTTTCTGAAATGAGTAGCATATAGTAATGTATTGACCTTTCTTTATCTACTTTTTCCCTGTAACATTATATCCTGGCACTCACTCTGAAGTCATCTATAGAAATATTGTGCCTTTCTTTTTGCAGTTCATAGTACTCCATTGTGTGCTATGCCAGGGTTTATTCAGCCAGTTCTCTATTGATAGACGTTTGGCTTAGTTCCTGTTGAATGCAGTCTTTTAAGTCATGGGGGCCAAGAAGCCAAATGAGCAAATAGCTGTGTACACCGCCAAAGTTGTAAAGCTATAATTTCTAATCCCCCTGCCCACCTTCCAATTTACAGAAGAAGGAAACGAAATGAAATGACCCCAGATTTCAGCCACCAGTCACACGATAAGAAAAACAAACTGCAGGACCGAACTAGGCTAAGAAAAGCACAGTCCCTGGTAAGTATCGCTTCTAAAAGATTCATCACCGTAACTGCTTATGAAAAGTGCAGCATTGCTGATCCTTTTTGGGAAATTGAATTTGTATTTGAAATCAGAATCATCAAGTGGCTATTTAAAGTCTGGCCTCTGCCACTGACTGAGCCGGGGACAGCTGTGAGCCCCTGAACAGCTTCCCTTTATTTCTTCCTGAGTCGCTGTTTTTTCATCTTTGCTTGTAAGAAACTGGGTGAGCAGAGGGGGGATGGAACTGTACAGGACTGAAGGAGTACCTTCACTGCCGGTCCTTTCTTCTACCGTGTCCTTTGGGACAGGGCTAGGCCACCAGAAACCACTTCCAGAGTAAAGTTCCCCAACCCAGAGGAGGCCAAGCTTTCCAGAGCTCCCGCCACCAGCACAGCACAATTAGGAAAGTGCATTGGAAGTGACTGCAGAGCAATAAATTAAGAATCCTTCTTTCCCTAATTAAAAAACAGTGAATTGCCTGCCTAATAAAGCCAGTAATTGTGACAAGGGAGCATTATCAATTTATAGCACAACCTCCCAGGTTGTGGTTCTGACCCCAGCGGGTCCCTTCTAGTTTATCGTGAGACTCTTTGGAGCAAAGTAGCAGACAATACAGATGGGATAAAAAGTTCCTGTACAGAGCTGAGGATTTAGAGAAGGGCCATGGAGTCTGCTCAATGAAAATGAATGTAGAATTCATGTCAGCTGGGAGAGGAGTGTGATACTCATGAATAAATCACTTTTATAGCTCTGCCTTAAAGCCTTATTACTCTCTGCTTAAATGTATTTTCAAGTGTTATGTTCCAAAAATAAAGATTAGGAAAATAAGAGAGCTAGAGCTAAGTGTTTTAAAATAGAGCAGTCTGCATTCTGAGACCAATTTTGTTGGACCGAGGAGGTTTATTTTAGACTCGTGTGCAGGGGCTCCAGGGAATGAGGTAGCTTCGAGAGAAGCTGTAAAATTGTCCATGAAACCATTAATTGCAAAAAATGACTTTATGAGGCTTATCACCCAGCCATTAAGAAGCACTTCTGCTTGGTTTATGCTCCCCCTGGCCACGGTAGAAGTCTGCGAAAGTGCAAGTGGAGGGACATTAAGTGAAGGCTTGGAGTTGCTGGTGATACCTGCTTGCAGATAGATCGTCAGCACAGTCAGTAGCCGAGCATGGCAGCACTGGGGAGGCTGAAGCAGGGGGACCGCTGCACGCTCAAGGCTAGCCTGGGCTCCCTAGGTTCAGGATGTAGCCATTTTAGAATCAGCCGAAACTATGCAGTGAAATGTCTGGAAAAACAGAAAACAAAACAACAACCAAGCACCCCCTGCCCAAAAAAAAACCCAAAACGAAACAAAACAAATCCCATGAAACCAAAGGCTAATCAGAAGCCATCTTCAGGAGCCTTGGACATGAGCCATCTGCCACGTGCTAGCAGGTTGCTTAAGTTCAAGTGTGTATTATAAGCTAAGTGAAAGCGTTGTGCTGATTAAGGCTGGAAGGGAAACCAAGTAAATGAAATGATAGAAGGCAATTAGCCGTCGGTAAATAAAGTATGCGGTTACAGTGCGTCTAGTTGCATTGCTTTTGTGCGTGCACTAACTGTAACAGTGTATGTGATTATAATTTTGATAAAGAGCATAAAGCACAATTCATTCCCCCCAAAATATGCGGTCATCTCTGATGCACGCTGAGGGTGTGTTTCCCTGTTACTGGCCTGGCTGCCTGAGGTACGGGCTACGTGTGGCTCAGGTCCCCTCCTTCATGTGGCATTTTGGCCATGCAGAAGGCCACAGATCTTGGAGGATACAAAGACTGCCAAGTGGGGAGTGTCTCTGCATCAGGTCTGGGCCACCATCCAGAGTGCTGAGCCAGCACCACCTCTGTCTTTTCTGCAGAACCTGGTCCTTCCCTGGGTGTGAGATGGGGCCAGCTGCCTCTGAAGTGACTTAGTTTCTACACAATCACTATTGCTCTTCCCTGTCAGCAAGGCGTGGGGTGGAAGCAACAGAGATGCTGAGTAGGGCTAAAGGGACACCCTCGCCCTCCAGCATAGCCTTTGATCCAGACCTTTGGGACCATAGCTGTCACTTGTGGGTACTCTGTTATTGTTCATGTGTCTGAAAAAGTCTGAAACACTGTGACTTTTTTTTTATTAATAAAGATATGAAACAAACAAACAAACAAAAAACAGCCCAGGTGTTACAAGATGACTGTGATGGTGGGGAAGTGCTGGCCATGAGCCGGGACCAAGGGACGTGGGTGTTGAGGAGCCCACTGCGGGGTCCCCAGAAGCATGAAGAGGAAAACCCAGACAGAGCAACACAGACACTGCCCAAGTGTGGTTCCCTGGAGAAACTCGGGCGCTCGCTCGACAGATAGGTTCTGCATCATTTTGACAGGTGGAGGAGGCAGATTTGGGGGAACTTGGGGAAGCCAGTGCTATAGGCAAGATTAGTGCTCCGTCCCCCAGCCCTGACTGAGGCCAGAACACTTGCTCTTATACTGGGAAAAGGGTGCAGGTGACAACTGGAGACACTGAAGCTTTGTCAAGTGGAAAGACTCTGAAGAAAAGAAGAGCAGAAGTACAAGAGGACGAAGGACACAGCTCCCAGGGTCGCAGCTGTCAGGCAAGGAGGTCATGCCTCATTTTCCCGGTGCTTACCAAGAGCGCTGATAATTGTGCTGCAAAGAGAACTGTCCTCAGGGAAACATTTTCAAATTTGCACATGTGGCTGTGAGCTTGTGTGGTTTCCTTTTTTAATAGGTGTGAGTTTAGAAGGACAGCTGATTTTCTCTTCTGCTCTCAATTCTAGACAAGACCCGCAGGAGGCAGGGGCTGCTTTAGTTACAACCTTCGGCACAACTCGCTTCCTCACCACTGTGTGCTGCGAAGGACTGGCAGAAGATGGGGTGAAAGCGTACATGTGATTGTTCAGGCTTTACAATTTCTAGGTCTTGAGAAGATGTTATAAATATCATAAATCTTCATTACTATTAGTTATGATAATAAAGCTCCAATGAGACAGAATTATAGAGATAGAGATAGAGATATATATAGTGGTCGGGTACTATCCTTAAACTTCAAAGATGTTCAATCTTGTGTAAAGACACACACACACACACA